TCTCAAAAGATATCCATCCAGTTTCTGAAGATGCAGAGTCCACCACCCTGTACTCTCCTCTCAATGGAGAAGAGCAAACCACAGACCACTTATTACAATGTAGCCTAAGCACTGCCACATGCATAATGAGGGACCTTCTTATAGCAACACCTGAGGCACTTCAAGTGGCCAGCAACTGGTCAAAGGGCATTTAATAAAATGCCAAGTTTTTAAACTTTGTGTTTTCTCAAATACATCACAACTGTACCCTTGGTTCGCTCCTGATAAGATAAATAAAACCACTCAGTAAGGCAGTCTGTTCCACTATCAAGCAGCCCTTATCATCCAGAAATTATTCCTAATATTTAGGTAGATTTTCATTTCCTTTCTCTTCATCTTTTGAAGGTGAATTGTGAATTGGCATATTTTTGACGCAGTCTGTAACTGTCTAGGAGAACAAAACTATCTATACTAGCTTTCCCCAACTGGACATTTTCCAAATATATTTGACTTCCATTTCTCAATGTCCCCAATGAGCATGGCCACAGCTAGCTAGGGGTAATGAGAACTATATTTCAATTCTTGGAAACCGTCCTCTCAGGGAAGTATCTGAGCTTTGAAAAATACCTCCTGAGCTACAACTCCCAGCATCCACCAGTTAGCATAAATATTGTAATTATCCTGGTGAGGGCTTCTGGGTGTTGCAACATACCACACATTTCTCATTTTTACTTTGTTTGATGGAGGAAACTTCCCAGACTACTCCTGCTCCTGCACTATATTACTATAAGCTATCACTCGTGGCCAAGTATGATTGTTTTCCAAGGGTAGAGCCTTGGCAGTGGGTCTGTACATGACTGGGGAGACCTGTTCTGGATCCACATGGTCTTTTACAATGAGGACATCCTGTGTTTCTTAACATAATAGTTTCACTTTCCGCAAATCTGGTTTTTTTTGGGGGGGGGGTTGTGACTATTGTGAAATAGCAACTCTTACCATTTGAGGGGCTGCGTGAGAGCACAGCCATGTGAGCGGGCGAAACCTCACCCACGCTCTCGGCTGCTCCCATGCCAAATGGGGAAAAGGGCAGGTGGTGAGGGAGCGAATTCACTGTCCCTCCCCCTACCTGTCTTCCTTCCCTTTTAGCACCCTGGAGCTTGGCTCAGCTGGGAACCGAGTCAAGTCCCACAGCACCAAAACAACATTTCTAAAACTGCTAAAAAAAGTTTTGCCTTTTCCAAAAGGGAAGTGCAATTTTTATGTGATGGTGACTATTATGTGATGAAGTACTGTAGATTTCCAGATGTTAGGCATTTGCAACAAGTATTTGCTTGACATTATTTCCTATTGACACTTGGAAAATGCCTGTGCATGAATTTATTTCATGTGTGGAGATCGATGCAAAATGACCAACACACAATCCTCACAGAAACAAATTCTGATTCCATGGCATGGTCACCATGATGATTGGTGGCCTCTTACCATCCATTGAGGTCTTCAGGTCATTCTTCATTTGGTTCCTTCGCTATGATTGTTATGCTTTGTTATGTTTTATTTTAATTGTATATTTTGTTTTTAATTGACTGTTTTGCTTTGATATTTTGTGGACATTTTGTCCCATGTGTAAGCTGCCCTGAGCCCCTTCAGAGAGATGGAAGCAGAGTACAAAAATAAAGTTATTACTATTATTATGACCTTGCCACTGTGGGTGGCCCTGCTGAGAGTACACGACTCCTGATAGCTTTGCTCATAGATTCACTGGAATGTACAAACCTACTCACCACAACAAGGGAGCTTCTGCACTAATTTAGAAAGGAGATTCCATCTGAACATTAGGAAGAACTTCCTGACTGAGAGCCATTCAGCAGTGGAACTCTCTGCCCCAGAGCATGGTGGAAGCTCCTTCTTTGGAAGCTTTTAAACAGAGGCTGGATGGCCATCTGTCAGGGGTGCTTTGAATGCAATGTTCCTGCTTCTTGGCAAGGGGTTGGACTGGATGGCTCATGAGGTCTCTTCCAACTCTTTGATTCTGTTGGGTTAGTGTGAATGCTACCTAAAGGATAGTCATGACGGAGCTCTGCTAAGCATATCTCAGATTGGCCTGGTAATAATTCAGTTCTCCCAAATAGGATAAATCATCATTTTCCCACATCTTCCGAGGAATTCACAACAGCTTATTTATTCCACATTGCATTATTATAGCTGTTTGATACCATATTAACTGCATCATACTAAATACTGGAGGTGAGGAGGCACTAAAGCTTTGTGGCTGATAATTTTAAAGTTGTTGTTGCTGTTACTGTGTTCCTTCAAGTCATTTCTCACTTAATGGGAACCCTAAGGCAACCCTATTATGCGGTTTTCGAAAGACTCCTCCACAAACTCAAAATCCCCGGATTCTATAGAACAGAACACAATTATTGTGTAGTGCTATAATTGTGTAATATAAAGGAGAGGTGATTACAGCTTCCTTGGGGAGATAGGCAGGCTACAAATAATGTTATTATTGGGTTGCTGTGAGTTTTTTGGGCTGTATGGCCATGTTCCAGCAGCATTCTCTCCTGGCATTTCCCCCACATATATGGCAGGCATTTATTTTATTTATTATTTATTTCATGCATTTCTACCCTGCCCTTCCCCCCGAAGGGGGACTCAGACATTGAGAGGTCTTGTTATATAATAATATAGTTATTGTTGTTATTATTACTTAGCCACAGAGAGTTTTTGGCAAGCCTCATTAGCCTGAACCCTGTTCCCTCTTACCTTTTCAAAAGGGAGAAGCACAGCATCAATAGCAGGTACATGCTGCAAGGAAACAAATGTGTTTCCTTTCCTCTCTTCATCTCTATGAAATGCTAAATAATTCTCCCATGGCTACACTCCTCAGGAGAGCTACATCTCCTGTTATCCACCAGCCTTGTTTCTTCCAGCACACTGATAATGAACAAAGTAATGAACAAAGGAATTTCTTTTTAGATTCAGATTTTCTTTTGAATTGGACAGATCTTCAGGAGCCCTAAATATATGAACACCTCTTATCTGGAATTCCTTGCCTAGTTTGGGCAAACTTTGCTAGCATCCCTACCAAACTAACTTCAGAAATATCACCATTTTCCAAAAGGGATAGTAGCCCCATCCTTGAGCAATGAAGCCAAAGTGAGGATAGTAAGCATTACCCAGGCCTGTGATTTCTTTCTTTCTTTCTTTTTCCTCTTTCTTTCTTTCTTTCTTTCTTTCTTTCTTTCTTTCTTTCTTTCTTTCTTTCTTTCTTTCTTTCTTTCTTTTGCAATAGTGTAGTTGTTTTTAATGTCTTTTTTGACACTGAATTTGAAAAAACACAATCAAAATACCATCCCATACACGGTTGTTATTCAGTTTTGATTTAGTGCAAAAGCTGGTATTCCAGTGAGATTTCTTTTAGGGCTTTCCAACTGATGTTTGTGATTCATAACAGCAAATTAAAGTGTTTTGAAAGTCTATTTGAAGATTTTAACCCTTTTCTTTCTGTTTCAGTACTTTTTATTCCCCTCCAAAATTTAACTCATTCACATATCACAAAACAAAAACTTCAAACCAAGTTGTGAAAAAAGTGTACAGGATGGAGCAAATCTGGGATATTTTTGGATGTAGAAAATCAAAATTCTATAAAGCCAGCATATACTTTCTAAAAAGAAAGTTTGTATGACTCAAAGATTTGCAAGTCTAAGTTATTAGGTTAGAATCTCACAGCTGCAAGCATTATAGCAACCTATTCTGCAAACTCATCAAGGATTTTTTTTCGACAGATTATTTCCATTTTTAATCAATAAATGATGATACTGCTCTGGTTGTTTTAACTAGTTTTAAATTATGTTTAGGGTACATTAGTGTGTTTTGAAATATTTGTAGGAATTTCTAGTTCAGATGTACTACATTAGTAACTCATATCATCTACAGCCTAGCCTTTTTTTGCATTTAAATAAAAAAGTAAGTTGATATAGTAAACATGAAACTGGAAAGTTTGTTTATTTATTTACTATATTTATATCCTGCTTTGTCTTTCCCCGAAGGGGACTCAAAGTGGCTCACAGTATGGCAAAATTCAATGCCACATATACAAACAGATAAAAATACAATACATCATATATAAAACCAAATAAAACATACAATACTATACAACTATTAAAAGCCATGAAACCAAGTTGGAGTCATTATATGAATTGCAACTCTACGATTCATTCCCTCCCAAAGATCCTAACTAAAGCACCCCCAGGCACCATTTTCCTGTATATAGGAAGCCGAGGGAGTCTCATCCCAAATCATAGAATCGTAGAGTAAGAAGAGACCTCATGGGCCATCCAGTCCAACCTCCTGCCAAGAGCAGGAATATTGCATTCAAAGCACCCATGACAGATGGCCATCCAGCCTCTGTTTAAAAGCCTCCACCACACTCCGGGGCAGAGAGTTCTACTGCTGAATGGCTCTCACAGTCAGGAAGTTCTTCCTAATGTTCAGATGGAATCTCCTTTCTTGTAGTTGGAAGCCATTGTTCCGTGTCCTAGTCTCCAGAGAAGCAGAAAACAAGCTTGCTCCCTCATCCTTGTGACTTCCTCTCACATATTTATACATGGCTATCATGTCTCCTCTCAGCCTTCTCTTCTTCAAGCTAAACATGCCCAGCTCTTTAAGCAAATGTCTCTCTGAACCCCTTGAAGAGGCCAATGAGGTGGGAAGGGGATGTGTGGGGTGGTCTTACTGCTCAGAGCAGGGTGCCTGTCAGGCCTGCCCACCCGCCCACCCCTCCTGCCCCCCCCCCGAGGGCTTGCAGCACTCTTGAGGCCACTGTTTCCACTGCCGTGGAAATTGACTACAACACCCAGAATCCTCAGCCTGTGTTCCTACTGGCCATGATGACTAAGGAATTCTGGGAATTGTAATAAAAAAGTAACAGTCCTGAGTTCTGTAACAAAATAAGTTAAGTCATATTTCCTGGAAATTTATCTGTATTTCTTTTTTCTCCCACACTTCTTTTTTCCCTCCAGCACCACCATCGCTAAAGTTGTCTGTGAATGAGACCTTGGTAGTGAACCCAGGAGATAACATCACGATACAGTGTTCATTAACTGGTGGAGACCCTTTGCCCCGGGTAATCTGGTCCCACTCACCAAGCCCGATGCCCCGCAACAGCCTGATTCAAGGGGGCAATCTTACCATCTGGAGTATCCGAGTGGAAGATTCAGGGTACTACAACTGCACTGCTATCAACAATGTGGGGAATCCAGCCAAGAAGACAGTGAATCTGTTGGTGCGATGTACGTCCACCTGCAGACCAAGTTGGGGATAAGTCTGGGTGCTCAGCATATTCTTGTACTGAGTTTTACAATAAATGTTAGATAGTGGAGATAGTGTCTCATGGCTACTTACTTCATCACCACAGAGTTGGCCCTAAGTTCTTTTACTGTTTGTGTTCTGTTTGTGGTACATACATTTTTTTCAAGGTTTTAAAGATTAATACATAGATCAGATCTCATCTGATCTTGGAAGGTTAGTACATTCAGCCCTGTTTAGTACCTAGATAGGAGACCACCAGTGAATACCACATACTGTAAGTGACAGGCAGTCCTCAAGTTACAGACATCCAACTTACAAATGACTCATAGTTACAGATGTGGGTGAGAAAACAGGAAGTGAGAGAAATCTGCCCCTTGAAAGGGAAATTCACTACTGAAAGAGTTATAATGGGGAACAGATGTCTCTACTGAAGCTTTCTCACCAATCCTTGTTTCCATAACAAGCCAAATTTTTCAAAATCCAATTATTTCAGGGACAGAAAGTGAGCTGAAATCTTCTGAACAGGGGCGCTGACAGCAAAACTGCACAGGTGTTAACGCTTACCTATACTATGCAAAGCATATATATATATATATATGGGAAATCAGAAGACACTTACTTCTTGGGAGGAGAGTAATGACCAATCTCGATAAAATAGTGAAGAGTAGAGACATCACACTGGCAATGAAGATCTGCATAGTCAAAGCAATGGTATTCCCCATAGTAACCTACAGATGTGAGAGCTGGACCATAGGGAAGGCTGAGTGAAGGAAGATAGTTGCTTTTGAACTGTGGTGTTGGAGGAAAGTTCTGAGAGTGCCTTGGACTGCAAGAAGATCCAACCAGTCCATACTTCAGAAAATAAAGCCCAACTGCTCACTGGAGGGAAGGATAGTAGAGGCCAAGATGAAGTACTTTGGCCACATCATTAGAAGACAGGAAAGCTTAGAGAAGACAACGATGCTGGGGAAAATAGAAGGAAAGGGGAAGAGGGGCCGACCAAGGGAAAGATGGATGGATGGTATCCTTGAAGTGGCTGGCTTGATCTTGAAGGAGCTGGGTGTGGTGATGGCCAACAGGGAACTCTGGCATGGGATAGTCCATGAGATCAAAAATGTGTGTGTGTGTGTGTGTGTGTGTGTGTGTGTAGCTGGAGTTACACTTTAAAAAGTATCTGTTCGAACTAACAAACAATTTCTACTTGAGAACAAACCTTGTTTATAACTTGTGGACTGCCTCTATATTTTAGAGAAAGGAACTGGAAAAAACATCTCTGAGTATTCTTTGCATAAGAAAACCCAATGAAATTCACAGGGTCCCCAAAAGTCCACCGGTGATTAAAGGAACACACATGCACACATCTAATTCATAACCTAACCTATGTTCCTTTAATGACTAATATTTAGTCATTCAGTTAGCAGGTCTTGTCTGCTTCTTATTTCTGACCTGATCTACTGAACCAGTTCCATCTCTTGTCAAACCAGTCACCCACTTTGCTACATTTCATTTTGTCAACAGCCAAACTCGTGTCTTAAATGAGTGCATGATTTATTGTATTTTTAATATTTAAAGTAGGAACTACTCCCTGTTGAATCAATACTATAATATGCAGCAAAGGAGTCAATCCATTTCTCCCCAGTGGAAACAGCACCTCCTTCTTCCTTCCCTCACCAGCTGCTGTTTGTTCCAGAAGGGAAATCGCTATGAAAGATAGCATATTAAAAACATGTATGCATTTCTCATATTGCCTCATGTGGCCTAAAAGGCATTGTTGCTTTTAATGTTTCTGTTCACTGAATTGGCATCTGTGTCTCTTCCAGCTATGAGGAATGCTACATTCCAGATAACTCCTGATGTGATCAAAGAGAGTGAAACTATCCAACTTGGGCAAGACCTGAAGCTCTCTTGTCACGTAGATGCTGTGCCACAAGAGAAGGTTTTCTACTTCTGGTACAAGAATGGAAAGCTGGCTAAGCTCTCTGACCGGCTAGTTATCATCAGGAATGATCCTGAACTTCCACCAGTGACAAGCAGCCTGGAGATAATTGACCTCCGCTTCACTGACTATGGCACATACCTGTGTGTAGCTTCTTTTCAAGGGGCACCCATTCCTGATCTCAGTGTTGAAGTGAACATTTCTTCAGAAACTGGTGAGCTTTTCTCATATCCTGTGGTGTATTTATATATATATATATATATATATATATATATATATATATATATCATGGCTATCAAATCCAAAATTTCAGGGAGTTGTGTTGACCCTCTATTAAACAAGTTCTAGCAGTTTCCAACTCCACCAAGAGAAGATCATTTCTAAAGCAAAGTTTTTTAATTGTCCATTCAAAGCCACATGTTGCTTTGGATTACAGCAAGATATCTTACAATAACACATTGTTATTTGGGGGGGGGGGGGAGTCCAGTTTCATCCTAGCTGTTTTGAAAATTGTATAGGGAATGGGCTTTGAGAAATGATATCACTATTTCTGCTAATAAAGAAGTTCCAGCTTTCCAAAATTGTGAGATTTGGCTATATACAGCATTGTTCTTATGTCTTCCTTTTGATTATGAAGACATTGCCTAAGGACAGAGTACACATCTGAGTTAAGTTAAAGATAGCTTCTCATCAACAGCTTGCTTAGAAACACAGTCTAAACAGCAGGACTGCTCATGTTGTTGATCTTGAGCTTTAATCACTTGATAAACACCCCCTCCCATGAACAGAAGGAGCTTGAAATGAAGGAATATTGCTGTGCAGTTGCTTCCTCCCAATTTCAGATTTAATGAAAAAGAATCTTAACAAAGATTATCATCTAATATAGACACAAAGATGACAGATAATGCTAGTATTTCCTATTTTGGATTAAATTACTCTAGGAAAATTGGGTTCCTGCCATATCAAAGTTGTCTATAACAAGAATTTTAAACTGTTGGGGAATCTTAGCTGTTAGGCTCAAAAATAACCCTCAGTTAGGGTAATTCCACCAAACTATAGCAGAGTATTAAGAGTAAACTCCATAACCAGCAGAAACTTAAGTTTGTTGAGAAGGAATAGCCTTCTAATCTTTAGGATGGCTCAGGATTGCAGAGTCAGAACTTTGGGTTAAAAATATTTATTAAAGTAAAAGAAATACTTGATAGTGCTTTTGTCCTGAGCCCCCACTTCCTAACCAAGACACGGTGGATCCTCTGCCTGCATCAAGTCTCCTCCAGACCATAAAGGGGATGTTAAGCAAGCATCTCAAACAAGTAGGCCTGTTATTCTGACACTGTATTTTGTCTCCTGTATGATTTTTAACACCTTTGCCATGTGAAGAAACAAGTGAGCTTTAAAAGCTAGAACAATGTGTTTTGTGTCTTTCAGATGGTAAAGCAATTGCCGGACTGTATATTTTAGGTTTTGTTGTATGGCCAGCAAAACTCAAGCTGAATAGGTATTGGGTAGAGTACCCAATTGGGTAGAGTACACTGATTAAGATGGTCTGCCCCAGGAGGCTTATGGCTCTGGATGGATTCCTGACAGCTCTTGGGGATTTTCCTGTCACCTTGGCAGGCAATTCTGTTGCAGCTCTGAATGACCTCTGGAATGGGGAAATGGCCAGGGCAGTGGACACAATAGCTCTGAGCATCTCCCATCATGGACCAGAGTCAAATCAGCCCCTTGGTTTTCCAAGGAGTTGGTGGCGATGAAGCAAGTGAAAGGGATACTCAAAACTCAAAGTGAATCTGACCAAGTATGGGCTAGAGCATCGACCCTCCACGTGGACTAGAGTGTATCTGAAAGCCTACTCTGCAGCGATGGAGGCAGCAGAGAAATTGTTTATTGCTGCCACCATTGCATCTGCAAAGACTTGCCCAGCTGAACCAGCCCTCAAGGAGAAATTTCTGACCATTCAATGGCCTACTGTGAAGAATTTGTACAGCACTTTGTAGATAAAGACACTCAGATCCATTCTAACTTGGATGCTGTTATTGATACCATTCTAATGGTTGTAACTATGGCTCCTTCTTTTCCAATATTGATGGAATTTGCAATTTGTGCAACCTGAGGATGTGGAGAGGATCCATGAAGAGGTGAGAGCTACCACATGTATTCTAGATCCTTGCCCTTCCTGACTGATCAAACAGGCTAGAGGAGGAGGGGCAGAGTGGGTGAATGAGGTAGTCATTGCCTCCTTGGAACAAGGCAAAATTCCAAATCACCTAAAGGAGGTAGTTGTGAGACCATTAAAAAAAATTCCTGAACCCCTCCATAATGGACAACTATTGGCCAGTGTCCAGCTTTCCATTTTTGAGCAAGGTTTTGGAGCATGTGGTAGCCTCCCAACTTTGGATGAAATGGATTATCAGCCCTGGTTATGAAACAGAAATAGCTTTAGTCGCCTTGGTGAATGACCTATGCAGAGAGCTAGACCGGGGGAGGGTATCCTTGTTGGTTCTCCTGGACCTCTTGACGGCTTTCCATACCATCAGCCATGGTATCCTTCTGGGCCGTCTTGCTGGGATGGGTCTGAGAGGCACTGTTTTACAGTAGGTCTGTTCCTTTCTGGAGGGCTGTACCCAGAAGGTAATGCTGGGAGATTCTTGTTTGGATCCCTGGACATTGCCCCATGGGGTTCCTCAGGGTTCTGTTTTGTTCCTCATGCTGTTTAACATATACATGAATCTGCTGGATGAGGTCACCTGGAGTTTTGGAGTGTGGTTTCACCTACGCTACTACTCCTTTCCACCTAAAGACAAGGAAGCTGTCCTAACCCTAAACCAGTGTCTGTCATTGGTAATGGATTGGATGAGGGCAAACAAATTGAAACTTAATCCAAACAAGACAGAAGTGCTCCTGGTCAGTTGAAAGGCAGAGCAGGGAATAGAGATCCAGTCTGTGCTGGATGGGGTTACATTCCCCCTGAAGACACAAACGTGGAGTATACATAAGCATAACATTTCCACATATGGAACAATTGCAGACTAGGAAAGGGGGTCTAAGGGAATATAACTTATAACATGTGATATTTGTTGGTGGTTCCCCATCCAAGAACTATTTAGAACTGATCTTCCTCAGCTTCCATGATCAGACGGGATCTGAAGCTTTAAGTTTTATAATCCCTATTTTTATTTTTAAAAAAAGCAGGGAGAGAGTAAACTTCCTTAAATTTCTTTTGTACATACCCTGTAGTCCAGATTACCACCCCATACATTTATTAATTTAGAAATAAAACTAGCCTCTTTCTGAGACCATGTCTTATTTGACTATAAAAGACAGAATATTTGAGCAGCTAGAGAAAAAGCATTTGTCCAAAACTGTTGTCTAATAGATTAAGAGTCTTACAGCTATATGCCCAAGGTGTTATTTCCAAAAAAAGGCCTTTCACAACAAGCTTTCCTCCTCATTACCACAGAGAAATTAAAAGGATAGGATGCCAAAAGGTGGAATGGTCAGAGGGTGGAATGCCAGCCTGTCTTTCTTCATCAATAGATATTTTTGTAATTATAATTGCATTGAATTGTGGATCTTTCCCCTTGTTCAGAATGGCAAACGAGGAAGATGGATAGTGTTCTGCATTCAGTGGTTCTCTGGTCTAAGTCCAAGTGTTGCCACAGATAACAAGGTGGCCACCCACAATGAGAGGCCCTGCAGTCTTGGCTTTAATTAAATAAACCACTTCAAATGCAATTTGCACATTTTCCAAACAGAGAAAATTGTTTCCTGCCAGGTGAGTCTCTCCTGGCTGTACTGAGCTGTGAGGTTGCAGTTCTGTCCTCACACTGTAATGGAGAGGATCTGATGAGATTCCACAGCCCATGGGAGACCTGTAAATTGAAAATATACCATCTTATTACTAGCAAGAAAGCTCATGGAGATGCCAGATGGAACTCTCTGAGTAGGCTCTTTAGGTGGCTATGTACTTGTGCATGTGTGTGTGAGAGAGATTAAAATCCTCACACTTTTCCTCGGCCTCTTTGCATATATGTAACTTAAAATGACTTCAGAACTTTCACTTTCCTCTGGGAAGAATAATACAAATTCCTTCAGTATGTGGAACCCTAACTGTACATGAAAATGTGTGAAGACAGATTGTTGGAAGAAAGATTTCTAAGAGTAGCAAAATAAAAGCATTACTTTCTATAATGCTGTTGCACCATTCCTGGGCTTTGATAAGACCATACCTTCAGCAGATGTAAAGTGTCTAGGTGGCATCAGGAGTGGACCAGGATCAAAGTGTCATCACACATTATTTGAATGCATCTAACAAGAGAGTCAGCATAGTGTAGTGGCTTGAGTATTGGACCATGACTCTGAAAAACAGGGCTCAAATCTCCACCTGGCTATGGAACAAGACACATTATCTCAGCCTCAATGGTAAAGAGAACACTCCCTGAATAAATCTTGCTATGAAAACTCCATGATAGCCTCAATTTTGGTCCATAATGAGTCTGAAGTGACTTGAAGGCAACAAGCAAAACAAGATGAAAGGCCAACTACAAGCACCAATCAGTGAAAAGAATTAAGAAGTACTCATGTAGTCAAGGATGACAACCAGAAACCAGGTTCTGAAGCAGATAAGATACCAGCTCAGGCTAGTTGTACCATTAGGCAGAGTAATGTGACCACTGAAGGCAGCATATGTTCTTCCTGAACTCTTTGGCATCTAGTTATTCCACCCAAGGAATTACTTAGGTTATTGTAGGATTTCCTTTATTGGCAAATCTAAGTATACCCTGTGTAGCTGAAACTAGCTTGCTCACTTGGTTGTGGTGGAGATTAACAACAGGATCCCATTGCCAAAATTGAATTTAGTTGCTCTTCCATCCAGTGTCTCTACATAGATGAGCAAGAGACATCATTGTGACCTTTATGTTAAGTAGCAAAATATCCCTGCTAGCTTGCTATGTCACTAGAATAAACCTTCAGCAAATGGAAGCAAACTCATTTTCACTTTCACTTTTAGATATGTCCTAATAAGGTGTTCGTGGACACTATACTCCAAGAGAAGCAGGGAGAGATGTCCCATCCTGAATGTTGATGTGAGCGGTAAGGTGTAGAATTAATGCAGTTTGACAAGACTTTAACTGCCATGGCTCAATGCTATGGAATCATGGGAATTGTAGTTTTACAAGCTTTTAGCCTTTTCCAGCAAAGAATGAGCATCATCAAAATATAATTCCCATGACTTTATAGCATTCAGCCATAGCCATTACAGCAGTATCAAGCTGCATTAATTCTATAGTGTAGATACAGATGCAGTATATGAACCTCCCCTTAATATCAAGTCCCGAATCCTATTGATTAGTCCCAACTAGAGGAGATCAATTGAATCAACTGTTGAATGTTGGGTCAACACACAAGTAAATACCACTGATTCAATGGTTCTGCTCTATTACAGATTAACAACAGGATTCAGGCCAATGCTTTCTGAATGAGCGCTGACAGAGTTATATATGTTTAGCTTGGAAGACAATTGTTTAAGAGACCTCTTCACACAGGTTTTTGTGCCCTTTTTCTTCTTATAGATAGGGCCCGCTGATCATCATGAAATGATGCTGGCTTGGGCCCACCCACATTCCTCCCAAAGTGGAGGAGAAGGATCGAAAGACACTTCCTCTGCCACCAAGGGAGGAGAGTGTTTTCTAGGTAGCTCCAATGGATCTACCCACACTTTCCTCTCCTTTTCATAGAATCAAAGAGTTGGAAGAGACCTCATGGGCCATCCAGTCCAACCCCCTGCCAAGAAGCAGGAATATTGCATTCCAATCACCCCTGACAGATGGCCATCCAGCCTCTGTTTAAAAGCTTCCAAAGAAGGAGCCTCCACCACACTCCAGGGCAGAGAGTTCCACTGCTGAACGGCTCTCACAGTCAGGAAATTCTTCCTCTTGTTCAGATGGAATCCCCTTTCTTGTAGTTTGAAGCCATTGTTCTGTGTCCTAGTCTCCAGGGAAGCAGAAATATAATATAATGGGGGAAATGGCAACATGGCAATGCACGTTGCTGCCCTTTCTCCCATATAATAGGACCAGAGCACCAACACACCTTGTCCCATACCCACCATATGATGGGGGAAGGAAGGAGGGTGTGTGGGGTGCCACGAGCCATTCTGCATGCTTTCCCTTTCACCAGTAACTGCCAGAGAAACAGCATGGCCTCAGGGGCTGTGTGAAGAGGTGGTACAACAATGCTCTCTTTCACATATACAAAGTGTTGTTCCATACTTCATGAAATAAATTTGTTCTCTCTAACTCCCAAGGGCAAAACCTATAAGTTGTTGCTGCATTCAACTTACCCTAGATCCTTCTTCAGTCAAATTGTTGTTATTTTGCACAGCATTGTTATTTTATATCTTGCTGTAAACCAACAATCAGTGAACCATCTTCTAAATACTGTTGCTGTGCCTTTCTTCCCATTAGTTCCTCCAACCATTATGGTGCCCAAGGGCCAGTCCACCGTCACTGTCCGTGAAGGTTCCAGGGCAGAGCTGCAGTGTGAAGTCCGAGGGAAGCCCAAACCACCCATCATTTGGTCCAGAGTAGATAAAGAGGTTCCTATGCCTTCAGGTGCCATGACAGTGGAGACCAGTGATGGCAAGCTGCATTTGGAGAGAGTGACTCGAGAAATGAGTGGGACTTACAAATGCCAGACAGCCAGGTACAATGGCTTCAACATCAGATCTCGAGAAGCCCTGGTGCAACTCAATGTACAGTGTGAGTATAGTCATAGAATCTCATTGTTGTTTCTTACTGTGTAAGTGTACACCTGTGCTTTGATGGCTTGGTAGCTAAAACTGCATGTCCCTAAGACAGGTAAGAATCATGCAGCATTCCAGATGCAACCGGACTTCAATGTCCAATATAGATTGGTCAGAACTGCGAGCTGCAGTCCAACAACATATTCCATTCCCCATGCCTGGTCTAGGAATACTGTGATACATGCTTGATCCCAGGATAACAAACAGCAAAACTAAGAACAGTAAAGATGGAGGACTGGAAAGACAGGTTAAAGTGAACTATCCTCTAGAACAGAGATGTCAGACTTGTGGACCTCCAGATGTTTGGGCCTTTAATTCCCAGAAGCCCTGGCCAGCTCACCCAATGGCCAGGAATCTTGGAACAGAAGTCCAAAACATCTGGAGGGATGCAAGTTTGATATCACTGCTCTAGAAAGAAAGAATTAAAGGAGTCATACAGTTCTATCAAGAGAAGACTATTCAGGAGTGACACAGGGAACTTGCCTGAACTTGATCTTAACCTTGCTGTTTTTTTTCTTGCTGAGTGAAACTGAGCAATTATTTTCTTATAATAAGAACGTTCACACAGGCAGGATCTATACTGCAAAATGATAAAGTCTGAACTGCATTATATGGGTCTACACTACATTATTGTTCAAACTGCATTATTTGGTAGTGGGTTTCCAGCCACAGACCTTGGAATCCATGGCTGCAAAGGTGAAGCTTCCACCTATATTTTGCTAAATCAGGGAAGTTTTGAATCCCCAGGTAGGACATTGGGTTAATCCTACTTAATTCTCTCTTCCAAGCCTTTCCCTTAAGCCTTAGTGAGTATGGCAGGCTGTAAATCACACATTCCCTTTTCTCATACAAAAACATTTAGCTTTTTAAAATGTCAGGATTGTTTTCTTAGTCAAAATGAGACTTCCCTTTAACATTGTGCTTTATTGTGAGTCAAGTCCCAGTGTTTGCTCCATGGTAAAGTCCTGAAGGCATTCTTTAGTCTCTGGTATTTGAATAGTTCCTGAATTCAGAGAACTATTCAATCTCTGCTCCTGTAAAGATGTCATTTAGTTATTCTCCCTGACCTTGAACGACCCAGGTTATTTTGGTGTCAGCCAGAAGGCAATGTAATTCCAAGTGTATTGCCTGCTGGCTGGCCCAGAACCAGCTCACATCTGACCTGGATCAGTCACAACTGTAGATAATAGCAGAGAAAGATAGCCTTAGATAAATTTGTGTGTGAGAGAGAGTGAGCATTTTAAGGATGGAGCTTTCCCTTGTGCCCATAGTGTTGCAGCTCTTTTGATATCATTTGTGAATAATGCACTGTTTGCAGGTGATCAAATGCTGAACCAGGCAGAATTTTTAATATCTTAGACAGGACGAAAGCAATTTGGCTCTTTCACTGTACAGGTCGGGTATGAAGTCATTGCCAGATGTTATTAATGGGAGTGGGTGAACTGAAGTCATGTGGCAATAACTCTTTTTTGCAAAGGTAGCATCCCACTAGGAGAATTTCAAGATCATGTTCCTGTGAAATATAAGTGGCATTGGACATGTGTAAGATTAAGAGAAAGAATGTTTAATTTGCTCTTCGAGAGACCATTCCTAGGCTGCTGTCAGCAAACAGCATTGTAACTAAACACATGATGCTACTCATTACAAACCAGTCACTTTTCCTGTTCAACACCTCTCCTCTTTTCCATTGTAGAAAGACAGAAACCTAACTTGAAGGTTGAAGGAAGTCAAATAAATGCCCTCTATTTCATTGCCTGAATGTCCCCAGTAGCAATATGTCAGAACAAACAACTTGCAGTTCAATTTATAATGCTGTGTTCTGATCAGAGCTCAAAAAAGGGAGTTGTATGAGTTGAGTTGTCTAAAAATCACTTTTCTGAGCTCTGGTTCAATTACACCTGTATGCTAATAAGCATGACTCTCCCCTTTCATCACACAGACACACACCATGTATTATTCAACTGGATCAGAGAAGACGTGTGTTAATTACTAGAGCTTTTTGTGAGCCATACCTTATCAATGAGAGTGCCTCAAAGAGCAAGCATTCTTTTGTTTTCCATCTCTGATTGGCCCTCCCTTTCCTTCGTGTTATTCTTAGCTTAATATTAATTGCTTCTCGTAGAATCATAAAATCATAGAATCATAGAGTTAGAAGAGACCTCATGGGCCATCCAGTTCAACTCCCTGCCAAGAAGCAGGAAAATTGCATTCAAAGCACCCCTGACAGATGGCCATCCAGCCTCTGTTTAAAAGCTTCCAAAGAAGGAGTCTCCACCACACTCTGGGGCAGAGAGTTCCACTGCTGAACAGCTCTCACAGTCAGGAAGTTCTTCCTAATGTTCAGATGGAATCTCCTTTCTTGTAGTTTGAAGCCATTGTTCCGCGTCCTAGTCTCCAGGGCAGCAGAAAACAAGCTTGCTCCCTCCTCCCTATGACTTTCCCTCACATATTTATACATGGCTATCATATCTTCTCTCAGCCTTCTCTTCTGCAAGCTAAACATGCCCAGCTCTTTATGCCACTCCTCATAGGGCTTGTTCTCCAGACCCTTGATCATTTTAGTCGTCGTCCTCTGGACACATTCCAGCTTGTCAATATCTCTCTTCAATTGTGGTGCCCAGAATTAGACACCATATTCCAGGTGTGGTCTGTCCAAGGCAGAATGACTTCCCTGGATCTTGACACTATACTCCTATTGATGCAGGCCAAAATCTCATGTAAACAAATATGTTGTCTTCTTGGATCCCATACTAAAAATGTGAAAAGATGTAAGTTAAATGATGTTGATGATGATGATGGTGGTGGTGCTATGATTAATAATTGGCTTGCTGATCATGATCATGGAACACCATCGTTTCCACTGCTGAGAAGTATAATGTAAAGCCAAAAGTTAACATCCACGATGGAAATTTGCAGCATATATCGAGAGAGCAAGCCAACATTATGCCTTTATCATATTTATGAACCAGAACACCCTTGAATCAGGATGAATTGAGCAGTCATTTTAAACTCTCATTTTGATGAAGTAATCTGAAATTGTCCTAATCAGATATTATTTCTTATTTATTAAATGCTTTAATTGTGTATTCCTGCATGGCAGGGGGTTGGCTGGATGGCCCTTGTGGCCTCTTCAAATGTTATAATTCTGTGATTCTAAATAACATTTATATCTTACCTTTCATCCACTGAGATCCCCTCTTAGCTTGAGAGCAAACCTGTGAGCTAGGAGACACTCCAAGAAGAAAGGCATTTCCCATCAAGTGTCCAGAAATCCTGACAAGAAGAATCCTCCTGATGCCCCTTTCTCACATTCTGTCTTTCTCTGCTGTCTTCAAATACACCCAAGAACTACATTCTGCCTATTTCAGCCCAATTTCTTCCTTGTTGTGCTTCCCCCAATATTGCCATGTACTGGCTGGTAGAGAGGTGGTGCAGACAAGTGAGGAGGAGTACTGCCTGAATAGTAAATGCATAGCACTTGCCTCCAGAAGACACTCAAGAGGTTCCAAATGGTGCCTGCATAACCATTGCATGCTGGCTATGGCAGGCAATCTGCCTTGTTTGCCCCCCACCCCACCCCATTCCTCTAGGCCTCATACCCACTTCATGACCATGCACATAAACAAGTTAGTTGAGAGTATCCGACTGTGGCTTGCCTTCTAATTCAGGTCTTCTAAAACTTTTCACTTGCAACCCATTTTTGCCCCAGTAATGTTTATGGCCCTGGGTATATAAGTATATAAAATAAGTATACAAACCAAGCCCCTCTGGGGCATAGCGCATTAAAGCATTGAACCTGCTGAACCTGCTGACTGAAAAGTTGGTAGTTTGAATCCAGGGAGCTGAGTGAGTTCCTGCTGTTAGGCCCAGCTTCTGCCAAATTAGCAGTTCGAAAACATGCAAATATGAGTAGATAAATAGGTACCATTTCTGCAGGAAGGTAATGGTGCTCCATGCAGTCATGCTGGCCACATGATCTTGGAGGTGTCTACAGATAACGCCAGCTCTTTAGTCTAGAAATGGAGATGAGCACCAGCCACCAGAGTTGGATACAACTAGACTTAATGTCTGGCAAAACCTTTACTTATACAAACCAAACACGTACTGATAATAAATTATAAAGATGTTTATTTTAAAATAGTTCTTTGGGATAGATATATCACCATATATTAAAGAGAAAAGCAAACTTGCACACTAAAGAGATGGATGTTTTATTTTTTACATAAATAATTAAATATTTGTGGAATATTTGATTCTGCAGGACATAGACCATCTTCAACATTTTTCAGAGTTAAGAACACTGCTTCTCATAAAACCGTAGTACAATTGACAGAAATATGTTTGTAGCCATTCCAAAAATTGTTGGAAATTCTGTCCTAATCCAATGGTAAAATTCATTTAGCGAGTTTTTAGGGAATTCAAGATTTAAATTCGTGTTGCTTGATGAATCTGCTAAAATTCATATCAAAGGGAACACCAAAAATTGATAACTAGTGTTTTGCTGCTGTAGGTTCTGGAGCTGCTAATTGTAAAGCTAAGAACAAGTTAAAAATAGAGCTAGAAGTTAAAACCGAACCAATTGGACAATGCTGGAAAACTATGCTCTGACTGTGTGATTTTAGCCTATATCACCCCGTTCCTTGGTGAAGTTGCAACGTGTGGTTAAAGCTCACACTTTAAGAAGTTTTGCTTTAGGTGGCTCACTCTACTGTCTACTCTCCTCCTCCATCTGCCTGTGAGAGGCACCAATGGGCAATATTCCTGTCTTGGCTCCCATCCCTCCCAGTTCATGCAACTATTATACCTCTGAACAGGTGGGACACAGGTAGTGAACTGAGGCTCGTATGGCACTAGGTAGCATAGACAGCAACAGATAAGCTTCCTGGCTTGGCTGCTCATCTTACTTCCAGCTGGCCATGTGTCCCATGTGAGCTAAAGGATTTGGGGACCAAATAA